CAGGATTTTCTCTAAAAGGAAAAGATGCTAAAGTTTTGGGTCACTTTGTGCAGTGAGAATGCAAATTACTGTAACTTGCATTATGGTTCTAATAAGCTCCTGTAATGACATTAAAGGCAAATGCTTTATAATGCTGCCTTCAGAAATGAGGTAATGCAAATTTAGGAAGAAATCCAGCCCGTTCTCCCCCTCCCTGCCACGTTACCAGTGTTTGTTGAGTCTGATTTTACCCAAGGGTGGCCAGAGGTTTTAATGAGTTACTCTCATGGGTCTGCCTTGCTATTTAACATGACAGAATTGCAAATCATATCGATAAAAAATCTGCTAAGCTGTTTTGAACTGCTCATGGAATGGGACCCTGCTGTGCTACTTGAGAACAATCATTTTGCCCAGCTCCTCCCCCTCAGGATCCAGTTATGGATTTGGCCTAACGTTACATCCCCCAGGTCACTAGCCACGTTATTTTAATTTAATTTAAGGAAGGCTACAAATAGGTCAGAAGAAACTAAGGGAATTAGCTGTTCAAATCAAAATGAAAATCAATGGGGAGCCATATTCTCATAGTCTTTGGAAGCTCTCTCCTAGTCCTTACACATAAGCCCCCTAGCTTTTGAATCAGTTTTCTGAATATCTCTGAATCTTCTTAAAGCGATGTCATCTTTCAGATGATGTAATCTGTGGCCAGTAACAGACCTGAGAAGATGCATTCCCTCCATTCTAAAACTCCTACGTAATACAGAAATTCAAGGGAAAAAAAGGACGGCATTCAGGAAAGTTTTCAAGTTTTCATTGATGTAATAGTTCGAAAATTACCAAATTGTCCTTTCCTTAAGGTTTCAGCTGCCAAAATGGAAAACTATAAATCTGAAAAAATCCTCTCATGATAATCTTATCATTGTGATATATACCAAAATCAGTTAGTTACTTTCCTTCCCATCATAATGCCTCACACAGATTCTGAAATCAAAATATTTTGGTTATCTAAATCTGTGTGCTATTTGGAAACCAATTTAGAGGAGTAGGATTTTACTGTTGTCCCAGTAAATGTTCCTTCTTCGTAAGTCAAAATAGTTTGATCTTAAATATAGGTTACTGCATCCTGGCACCAAACACAGGGGTAGATGCTGTGCATAAAGTAGGGAAAGCTCAGCAAACTGCTCTTAGGAAAAAAAACATTCAATCAATTTTGCCTCTGAAAACCTAAAGGGGTTTTTTTTTGTTTAACACTCACAATCTGAACTGCATTGGTTCATTTTGATTTGGTATATGGGTTACTTGGTATTATTCTGCTTTTGTTCTTTCTGCTGGGTGACCTTGGGATAACATTTGTAGGATGTTAATGTTCAGAGTCTGCTTTCTCTGAACAGTTTCTCAGAGACAACAGTGTGAAGGCCCAACTCCCTGACTCTGTGAGCGACAATGTGCCTCCATGTTCACAAGGTCAAGAACCACAGACCAACCCAGATACCCTGAAGAGCTGTTGGAGTGGTTCAAAGGGTGAGATGATGAGAACTTCCCCGGATATGACCAAGGCATGAATGGAGTACCCATGTTCGTTCTAACCCTGGCAGTACAGCTCCAGACACAGACCACGCCAGCCCTCCTGGATCTCTGCTCATGGACTTGGTAACTACCAGACACTTAAGTTTATAATATGATATTCAGGCAAGCTAGGCTCGAGCCAGTGCGAGTATGCCTTCTTACATTGCAATCAAGCTTCCTGCTGCAGGGTAGATATGGCAAACACTTCAAAAAGACTCTTTTTACATTCTGCCCTACTGGTAAATTCATTCGTTGGACACTCATGAAAAATGGATAATGCAAATGAAACTGCTACATTTGGAATTAAGCTTATTTTCGTACTCCAGTGAACATGAGTGCATTAGATTGTTTTTCTTTTTTTTTTTCTTTTCGCTTTTCTTTAGGGTGTTTGCCCAGCTGTAGTCACCAAAGCACTTGTTTCAGATCTGGGGGAGGATGTCAGAGTAGTCCACTGCTGAGCCAGAATGGTGCAGGCACTTCAAACCACTGGCTCTCGAGCCCACAGACTCATGACTAGCATTGATCTGGAACTGAGTGGCTGGCTGTTTTACAGCATTGCAGCCTTAGAGAAGGCTGCTCCCTCCTCATTGCAGGGTGAGTGATAAATTCATGCAGAGCATGGACAATTGCAGGGGAAGAAACGGAGAGGCTCACTGTGAACTCAGGAAGTGACCACTTATCCCTGGTACTCACTCAGAGTTACACTAATGCACAGATGTAATGTTCATCTAGGAGGCAGAGTAAGTAGATCAACATCTTTGTGTATACTGGATCCCCCTCTCCTCCTCATACAGTCTCAGCACTAGTTATAAGCAAGGAGCTAAGTCTCCCATGGCAGCAGTGATTGCTCCATCAAAAGTCACTCCATAAGCTCAGTACAGGTGAGTGGGGATGCTCTATCCAGACACAAGGCGGCACGCGCCCTCTCTGACTAGTCCATCCACCTCTGTTAACTCTGCCTCAGACTGTCCTACACAGATTCCTACAGTTCGCATGCATACTCTTCTCCAGCGGACCAGCATGCCCTACTCACAAGTCTTTTTTAGTTTACTGGTCATATGCAAAGAGCCTATGAGAGAAGGAAGCTACATAGCAGAGGAGACATAGAGTGGGATAGTGGGGGAGCAAAGGAGAACAGAAGACTTCAGGAACCCCCTCTCCCAACAGTCCTCCTTCTTCTTTAACTCTGCACAGCAACCTGCCCCTTGCGTACACCCAGAGTAAGTCTAGTCCAACACTGCTCCGTCCTACAGGAATTAACACTTCCAGATCAGCACTGCTGATCTGTGCAGTGAGAAAAGATGAACGTGAACTTTCAGAGATGGATGATCTGTAGGCAATTCAGAGTAAGAGGAAGAAAGAACTGTCAGTGTGGTTCCAGGAAGCACAATTGTTTACTCCCATGCAAAGATGAAGAAGAACTTCTCTTCCCCGTCTCCTTGTTGCTTTGTAGCATGCACTGCACCAATGACAAGGGATCGCCCCTTCTCTCTACCTCCCTCCCCCATTCAAGAAAGTGGAAAACCTGCTAGCATCATACCCTCTCTGGGAAACTGCTGCTTGGGTCGAGCCCTGTTTGAAAAAAAGACTATCATGTTTGCTCTGCTGGGCTCTGCAATGCATAACAGTGTCTGCATTGCAGTCTCAAACTGCAATCCAACACCATCTGTCCCTTCCACTTGCAGCATTGCATCACCCCAGGGAGTCTGTTCTTCAGGAGGGATCCAGAGAGCGCCTGGCTGTGCTGTCCCCCAGTACCCATGACAGCCAGCAAAAGGGCAAAATGCCCCACTGATTTGTATTATGAGATTGAAACTAGAAATGGCTGCTCAGTGAAACTGTATGAGAAGCAAGGCAGGGAAAGGGCACTGATTTGTTTTCATTTCATTATTTTTTAAAACAAATTCAGTACAATCAACAGCAAATATACTTAAATCCTCTTCAACCACCTTATGGAAAGGAAGTCAAGGAGCTGAGACAAGCAAGCGTGGAGTTCTGCAGTACTGTGGCTACATGTAAATCTGTATGAAGGAGCTACTTTAACAATAGCCTAAGCCACCAGCTCACCTTTCCTGAGTGTTCTCGGATTAGAGGACAGGGAAGCAATGCAACCAAGGGACAAGACAACAGTCCTGGAGATATTTCATTGCACTGCTCAGTCTCTGACTTACTGAGTCACGCCGGGAAAGACACTTCTGCTTTATCTATCTCCATCTCCCTATGCACTTCCTGCCTGCCTGTGCTATGAAACAAATTAACCTAGTAGTGAATTCTTCAGGGCTGGAGCTGTCTCTCCCTATACAACTGTACAGCAGCTTGCACAATATCATCCCAAACTTCAGCAAGGCATTACTGCGAAGTATTCACAAATTATAACACCACAAAGGTGAAGCCTGAAATTTGTAAAGAATGCACCAGTGCTCTCCCTCTGAGTCTGTGATGCTGGGAGGAGGAAACGGTTCAGCTCTATCATGAATTAGTGTTCTGACAGCTCAGTGCAATCTAGCCATGACTTGCATGGCTACTTTCCTTTCACATTCCCAGGAGCACACTCTGCATTAGATCATGCTCTGCATCAGGCTCTGCTCCAAAGCAGAAGAGAAAGTATGGGGAGGAAGATGAAATTGCCTTGACGAGCTTTCCTTGTCCTGAAAATATGCTCCTGACATGTAGAGAAACCTGCAGGGAGCTTTCTCTCTCCTTTGGAGAGCATGGAGACAGGACAAAACCCCTAATTTGCAAGCTACTTGTAAGGTTGTGGCTTCACTCACATTACGCCTGACAACTCACCCTGTATATTGGAAGTCCCCCAGGAACAGCACAGGGTTCAGGGGCAGTGGGGTTCTTGCTTTTCACCAGACTTTTATGTCTTTAAATAGACCCTATTTGTCTGCAGATCACTCTTCTTTCCTCTTCCTCTTAACATAGTGTCAGAGAATTTACAAAGCAATAAGGTTATAAATACATCACCAAGCCATTTATTCAAGAGATAAGCATGTAAAAGAAGAAGATGCTTGGGTAAACAAATGCTACAGGTTCTGCAAATCAGCTGCCTCTAAACCTTTCCTCTGAGCTGTTTCTGGATCTTTTGGGGCTCTGAGAGGGCAAGACCACGCTGCCTGGCTAACTGCTCCACTCACAGGCAGCTCTATAACTACACACTTCCTGCAGGGGGTCCACTTGTACTTACTCTCCTCCCAGCCCACACATCATCTCCACAGATTATATCTATTATGATCATGAAGCAGATAGGACAGTCTCAAGCGACTAAATAACAATGTGCTGAAGGCCGTCTCAGGAACCTGCTAAAAGCAAAGCGTTAGACTCCAGACACAATTCTTTAGCATTCACACTGGCATAAAGTAGGAGAATGGGCATTCAAAGAAAGCACTTTTGTGTAATACCAGCATAAGTGGAGAAAAGGTATAGGATGCAAATGCATCACAGCCTCTGCTCACCTCCTCCCACTGATGAATATAGCGGATGAGCCGGGAGAGCCGCAGAAGCCGCAGGAGGCTGAGGATCTTAGTGAAGCGCACGATGCGCAGTGCCCGGGCTGTCTTGTACACCTCAGAATCAATGCGGGTTTCAACAATTAGGAAGATATAGTCCACAGGGATGGAGGAGATAAAATCCACCACAAACCAGCTCTTCAGGTACTTCATCTTGATCCTCTGTGGGTCTAGGATGATCTCTGTGTTGTCCTCCACCACAATGCCTGTTCGGAAGTTGAGGACAAGGTCGATGAGGAAGAACGTGTCCGAAACCACATTGAAGACAATCCATGGGGTAGTGTTTTCATCCTTGAAGAAAGTGATGCCCACAGGGATGATGATCAGGTTCCCTACCATCAGGAGCAGCATGGTCAAATCCCAATAAAACCTGGACAGCAAGACAGAGACATGTGAGATCAGCCGTAGAGTGGGAGATCAGGGAGCCCAGGTCAACAGAACTAATGTGCTTTATACATCTCTACTATCATTCATTCTGCATGCTCTGCTAGTCTGCCTGATGTACTCAGAGTGCACAAGCTGCTAATTAAGTACTTAGTATCACAGGAACTCTCATCTTCTGGCTTAGAGGGTTCAGAAAGGAATTGAGTACACGGCTGGACATGCCCACTTGAAAACTTCAGCTGGGACTTCAGAGCCACCTAAGAAGAGACTGATATACTTGCAGTTACTACAATGACTGTTAGGTAAAGAGAGAGCGAGAACAAGTATTTGGAAGGCCTCAGAGTTTGTATGCCAACAAAGCCATTTGGGGTTAAAATCATCAGGCTTGCTCCTACTGCCTGATCCTTCTTTAGAAGTAGCTAGCACTGAGACCATTGGGATCAGGATGGAACTGGAGACCGTGCTGTGATCTACAGTGTTCAGTTTAGATTTCTTGCTGATCCAAGCTTACGCTGAGCCTGGACTTTAGGAGTTACTCTATACTCTATAGACTCCTGTGTTGTACAGAAATAATCAATAAAGCTTGGAGTCACGTGCACGTGCCTGGAAATATCTATTTCATTTCTAAAGTAAGCAACGACAACATTTAACTACGGTTCCACGAAGCACAGCCTCCAAAAAGCTTATGTTCACTTTAGCGGCAAGTCAGTATTATCCAGGAGGCCTTACAAGAACATTCATTTTTGGTTTTGAAGGCACACACAGTCTGAATATAGTTCCTAATTTATTTGTTTGGGATTTTTTTAAGTTTCTCCCCAGGTATTAATGTAAAAGATACACAGTCACACAACGGTGCCACAACTTACCCAGAGTGAGGACACAGTGAGGACTAAAAACTTTCCTGGGTCTCATACTTTGTTGAGGAGTCTCACAAAGGAGTCTCACTGCCCAACACAGTAGTGTGCTCCAGACTCCTCCAAATGTTTCACATATAGAGATGTCAATGTATTGTGGTTTCACATTGCCAAGTTTTCGTCAGCTCCACATTGTATACTACAGGGTGGCTACTATAATATTGTGAGGTATCATAACTAACTTTTATTAGGATGCAGTTGTCACAGCAAATGAGCAAAGTACACAGACCAAACTGATTATCAGGTTTAGTTGCTTAAACCTGAAGATGCAACATTCAGAAAGCTGCAGTGGCTCTTCCAGTCAGTCACACAAATTAGCATAGTGTTTATATTATTATTAATCTCTTGAGTACCAAATAAGCCTCATTTCCTAGACCATAAAAAAGGCAAGAGCAAGTTAACACAAGGGAGAGGATTGAGCCTTCCTTTAAACCAATCATCTCAATAGCAGTGAAGTCAACAGATTTACAATGATGTAACAAAGGAAACTGTTGGGTTTGCTGAAGAAGGACACGCACATGCTGCTTCTCTCTCTGTCTGACAGATTACAGTCAAAATCACTGAAATGTTTTAGGAGAAATAGATTTCCCTTAAAGATCCTCAAAATCTAGCTTTGGCAAGAGCTGTCCAGCTTAAGCCTGGGCCTTGGACCAGACTGAGCTGCTGCAGAACAGTATCACTATAGTGAGGCCACTACACCGATTTGCTAAACTCTCAGCAAGAATATGCCTTAAAAGCCTTCTGTGTATAGATTCTCTCTCCCTGTTAAGAACATAACACTTTAAAGCACCTAAAAGCATATTTAAGATTCCAGCTATTACACATGTACAGACAAGGTCACAAACCAGCAGCACACCAGCAATTCTCAGAAACATTCAGCAGAGGCTGACGGGAACTGACTTCAGTATGAGCAAAGTTATCCACTAAGGAGGTTTCTAAAAATGTCATCAACTATCTCTTTCTTGCTCTCAAGGTGCCATGCCCCTGCAGGCAAGGTAGCATGCAATCCTTCACTTAGTATAAAGGTACAGTTGGTGCTGGTAGACACTCAGCAATGAGATTTGTCCATATGCTTCTAAGAGCAAGGCCATGTCACACAGTAATATGCATTAATACTGTATAAATCCATGTTGCAGTCTTCCTTACTAAGGGCCTGAGATGATGCTTTCCTAGTCAATTAATCTCGATAATCGCACAATAGCAGGAAGTCTGGAAGCAGTGTGTATATTATTACCAAAAATAAATAACCTCCCAGCCATCTTTAATTTGCCTTAGGGGATACAGAAGGAGATACGCACAAAGAAAATTATTTTTCCCAAGTTTCAAATCAATGGCATGAGACAGACATGGCCAGACATGCAGAGATGTAAAGGTAAGTGGCGTTCTTCAGAGATCTTTGGATTTTTGTGCCTCTTATTTTTATGCTTTCAATACTTAGTGGCAACTGGGGACAATGACAACAGTGGCTAGGATGGCTCACAGTTTAAGTAAGATGTTTTACACACACAGAACCCCAGTAAAATCCTTCCTGCCTGACTGTAGCACTTCCTGCTGCCCCAGTCTCTTAGAGTCAAGCATGGTCATACCATGGTCAGCTGTCCTGTATCCTGATTTACAGCATTTCTTGCTATTCCAGTTCTAAGATCTTCAAACTCACTTCACACACGCTGTCCAGTCCCAGTCTGCTATTACTGCTGAACTGTCCACAGAGAATCATGGTTTGCAACGTGGGCAAGCAAAGATGTGCTAAAATTCATTGCCATGTGTTTCTTAAACCACAGCTCTCCTCAAGGGTGTACTAGTGACTCAAGATTATTGTCACAGGCTCCCCTCAGTTCTGACCTTTAAAGCCATCACTTATAAAACACAGAAGGTAAACTTTTGTATCCAACGCACCCCTGCTAACAAAAGGGTATCCGAGGTGTCAGGGAGGAGATAACCTTTGGACTCTACGAAGGAGGCAGAAAAAGCTGAAAACCAGCAAGAATTTGGTCTGCACACCAATTCCAGCACAGGAAATTCACCTGCCTTTACAATGTAAACTTCCTAGAAGTTAAAATTTAACTATTAAGATTATCTGTTAACCATTAAGATGTGCTTCTGCACATTTTAATTTTACCCACATATGAAGTAACTGCTCAGGGTGGCATCACTGGTTTTAGACTGAATAGACTCTCAGGGCCCACAACACCTCAGAGGTCTAATATCATCCATGTGTCATTTTGTATTTACACTGAGGAACACCTCTTCACTCCCTGTAAATTATTGGCCAGAATGACTAACAGTGCACGTGATGTATGTAGGGGCAAGTACCAGCTATTAATAACCCATGTTTTCTGTATTTCTGTTGTTCCTTTCACCCAGGGATTCCACAGAGTTGACAGTGATGAAATTGGCTCCGCTGCACCCATGAGAGGCAGATAAAGTTATTATCCCCGTCTTGCAGATAGAGAAGCCGCATGGCAAAATTAAGAGAATGGGATTTGTCCACGGAAGTCTGAAGCTAAATAAGGGTTAGGACCTGAATTTGATTCTGGAGTCTAATGAGATCTGAAGCTACTCATATGACTTGAAAAAGAGTTTAACAGAGATGCATCTCATGGACATCTTCCTCTGATATCCTGTCTTCTTCTCACTTCGCTTTCTGTTTTCAAAAGCCTACATAAAAAATTAATAAATATGAATGTATTGTTTTATTATAGTTGACTCAGTGCGACTGAACAGCTCACAGCACACGGAACAGCCAGCACTATATAAACCAGATGCCTTGTTCAAACATACTTGTTTTTTATACTACATCCTACTCTATGCACGCTTCTTAGATCTGAAAGTCACAGTTTAACATGCACTGCTACCTCTGATCTTTTAATTCCTAATATATTATTTAGTTGTAACAGAATGTGTCTGAGAATTAGTGCGGCAAATACACTTCACGAATATATGCTCTTTAAGCACAGTTTGTGTCACTCAGTTGATTTGGTAGTACGTACACTTTGTAGCTATTAGTTTGTGGGTTTTGATCAGAAAGTTACATCATCTTTCTATTCTGTGGAGTGCATAATGTAACAGCAGGCTAGGAATATTGCTTTCGGATGTCATTTTTTTAATTAAATAAACCTTGATTTTTCAAAACTATTCCATGATGCAGTGTAACCAATTCTAGTGCACGAGCTCAGGAAGGATTGTGACTAACTGGAGAGAAAATAGTGAATTGCAGAGGTCAGCATCACTGTGTCAGCATGGCATTCAAAACCTGCCCCTGAGCGGGGCACATTTGTGGCCTTAACTTCTGGTCTTGCTCTGTAGTGTTTGCACTGTCAAGAGAAAACAGACTTGAGCAACCTCACCTCTAAATTAACAAAGCTTTTTGGATGTTTTCAGCTTCTGCTGAAAGGCAGCCAACCCTGGGTTGAACTGAGGCGCTGCCTGAAACTGCACAGAAAGGAAGCAAAAATAAAAATGCATCTAACTGAAAATGCCAGGGAGCCAGGATATTCTCACCAGCAATGGAATTTAGCTCAGACACCGAGGCCAACCTTCCTAACCTTACAAGAACAGATCTTTAATGCTTTGATAAAACCAAAACCAAAGACAAATCCCATTGCTCTACCAAGCCCAGGCAGGAGCACTGGCTCGGTGCTGACTCAAGAAACAGAGTGCCACCTACTGAATCACAAATGACATCTCCATCCTCTGCTTTGCATGGGGAGGAATTGCTACGTTATTCCTTTAAAGAGCCGATGAAAACCTGCCCTTTTCTCTAGAGTGGCAGCTCCCTTCTCCCCCTCTGGATTGCATATTGAATTAGACACTGCTGTGCTCACCAGCAACTATCCTGACAGGAAAGAGGTCGCGCTTTAATTCCCAGGACTACTAGTCGGGCTAGAAATAGAAATCATCTTTCGTAAAGAGCATTAGCACATGTCAGTGTGGCTGCAGCAACAACGGTGGGAAGAAAGTTTACTCCAGAAAGCAGCCATTCACATCTGAACACAGAGGACAGAGAAAGAGAAAAAGCAGGAAGAGATCCTTCCCTGTCTTTGGAAGCATTACTTCTCCCAGATGTGAGTAG